TTACATAGAAGAGTTGTTTATGAAGTCGGCTCCACTAAGCTACATTCTACCTTCTGTGAAGTACCTGTGGCACCTACACAGTCCCTGGACAAACGTGTCTGGAATCATCCCTTGCATCCTTAACAAATGCTACACAGGCAGGAGGATCCCAAGCTGATATCCAGCCTGGTCTACACGTGGAGTTCCAGGCTAAGCTGGATACATAGCAAGTCCTTGTCTCCATCCGTGAGCCAATGCCTTTAGGAAAATTAACTTGGGTCATAGCAGAGGGGGTAGTTTTTGAAGGGGTGAGAGGCAGCCAGGCAGGCAGGGAACCCCAGACAAACAACTTCAAACAACAAGTATAAGATACTCCATGTTAGGCTCTTTCAAAACCAGGAGCGATGATTCTTATTCAAAATGGAGCCACACTTCCCACAGGGCAGGGAACCCTGATTGCTCTTTGGGCTGACGAGGGAGGGGGACTCGATTGGGGGAGGGGGAGGGAAAGGGGAGGCGGCGGTGGGGAAGAGACAGAAATCTTTAATAAATAAATAAATAAATTTAAAAAAAAGATGCTTCCATTCCCAACACTTCAGCTCTTTCAATTACTTAGAAAGGTCCACTGATCCTATTTTTCCCTCTCTCCAAGTTTGTCTCTACTTCTAAGGCAAACTCAACACCTCTCAATTCTTCCTGCCTGCACTACAATTTCTTTGTCCTAAATGCTCTTGCTGATTCTAGGCTCTTCAAATATTAATACAGTTCAACCAAATACTACTTTTAGATTCTATCATCCACTATATCTTTTATGTATAAAACCCTTTTAAAACTAGGTTGTCACTAGTGTACCATGCCCAGGGCCCTGGATTCAATCCCTAGCACTCTATGGGAGAAACAAACAAAACTAGGATGTAAAAAAAAAAAAAAAAAACCAGAAAGTGTCTAGAGAATATTAACAATAAAATAAAATTCAAAACTTTCCCCTTACAAATATCTAATGTTATTTATGCATATAAGTAATAATTTAAAAAGAACACATAAAAAAAAATGGAAAAGGCCATTAAGAAGTTGATCAGTATTTATTTCTTATCGAATGGCATCTATAAAATAGATACCTTTTGGTAATCATTTAATGTTCATATACCATAAAGCCTATTCTCTATAATCAAGCTCTAAAATCTCTTTGCACCTTACTTTTCGTCCCTCCTTTTCATACAACCCTAAACTCCCAACAAACTAAAGAGTTCAACCCCCCTCTACACTCCCGCAATGGGCCACTGCTCACAACATACTTTTCAGCTGGCATACATATTATCCTTTGCCTCCATTTCTGGATGTAGAAATCACACTTGACCACCTTCACAGTTCGGGTCAGATAATATATCCTCCATAAACTATCCCCAATGCCTCCTTCAAAATGCCACAAAGCATTTCCAACAGAATACAGCATGTTCATAATTATAGTTTGTGTATATGTGAACAAGTAGCTCTTTTTTAGGCTAGACGGGAACTTTGTCTTAGTCACTGTCATATTCCTGAGGCATAAAATATTATCTCTCTGTTATACGTAAAATGAGTGAGTAGCTAGTTTTTAAAAAAGCACTAGAAAGACTTTTAAAAAGCAAAACTTAATTTTTGCTTTTTATTTTATTATGTTTTTTAAAAATTTCTATTCAAGGTTTATTTCTTAACCTAACCTTCTTACCTGGAGATATGTTATTCTCCGCTGGACCAACTCTGTCAGATCTTTGGCCTCTTTTTCCCGCCAATCACCTGCTCCATCTGTTTGACTGAGGTAGTATAGATCTGTCATGATAGATCTGTGAAAGCAAGCAACATTGGAGTTCCACTTATTTGTACTGTTTCAATGGATTATACAAAACTACAGGGAGCCAGGAATAGGTGGTATTTATCTTTTATTTTCCATTAAGACTATGACCATCTGTGAATTATTTCTATAGAAAATCTTTTCTGACAAAAAGACAGATAACTTTTCCCCACAGACCAGCCAGCCGCAGTGTCGTTCCCCACCATCTCCCTCCAAAACAGAAAAAGTATGAAGAATGTAATACAGGGTTGTTCCCCATCCCCCCAAAAAACAGAAAAATATAAAGAATGCAATTCAGTAAGCATGGTATTGGTATTTGAATGGACCACTGTGTCCTCTTGTCATTTGATGGCCCCTCTTAGTATTCCACTCTGAGTGATTGGAAAAAAAGAGTCAGAAATCTTTAATAAATAAATAAATAATTTAAAAAAATCTGAGCATTTAAAAAAAGAGTGTCCTAAACAATCAAGGATTAAAAATTCTTTCTTTTAAAGGAACAAGTACTAAGATTTTAGGTCATATGAACATCTGCTATTATTTTTTTGGAATTATGCAATGCTTCATAAATTTTCATGTGCAAAAGCCATGGGAATCTCTGTACCATTCCAGTTTTCATATGACTACTGCCAAAAGGCGCATCCTCTGCCACCTTTGTAGCAGAAAAGTTGCCATAGGAAATAAGTGAATAAATGTATTTCTGTTCCAATAAAACTTTATTTTAAAAAAGGAGGAAAAGAGCCCGATTTTACCCTTGGATTATAATTAGCTGTTCTTTCATCAAAACTAATGTAATGGTTATGATCCTTTCTCACTGTGTAACCATTATTAATTTCAATTATAACACGTTAGATTTCCTGCCAATAAACTAAAATGCCCTGTAAATTGCAAAGAGATAATGTTAGAGCTGGTACAAATGGTTTTACTTAAATTGCATTGAATAAAAACAATGGTTTGCACTTAGTATTAAAGAAAGTTCAAAAGCACTCTCTAACGGGCCCCCAGTAATCTGTCAGTATCTGACTATGATGTCAGTATACGACTATCACAACCAGTATCTGACTATAAATCTCTACCAGTACTGATAACAACTAAGCTACCAGAATTATTGTAACAGTTTTCTGACAGTTCTCCCAGCTCCCAGCTTTGCCTATGTGTACAGTTTACTCATGGTGGGCAGTTCTTCTTAATAATCAAATAACACTTCTGCTTTGCACTTAACATTGAGTTGACCCTTCAAATCACTTAAAAGTCAAAGCCAAAGTCACAGCCTTGACTTATAAGTCCCAACACATCATGACCCAGTATTCGATCTTATCTCTTCCTAATGACTTCTTTGCCTACTTTATTTCAGTCACACTGGCCTCATTGCAAACATTTAGGAATATGAGCATATTGCTACTGTGGGCATTTACAATTGCTCCTTTCCATACTGGAGTACCCAGACATCCATCCACATCAACCAAATATCCTGCAAATATTTGTTCAAATGTCACCTTCTTCATAAAGCTTTCCTGGATTAAACTACTTTTTTTGGTCAGAAAATAGATTTTTTATTGATAGTGAGTGAAGTTGTCAGTTTTTACTACAGAAGTTGCATAAGCCAAGGTTTGCTATATATTGATAAAAATGCCTTATTTCACTTGCAATCATAAACATTATTTCAGTAAAAGAGGTACATTTTCTCTCCTTTTTGTCTTTCTTGCATGATCACAATGTTACAATGAAGTAGTTCTTACATAACGGGAGAGCACACCAGGCCCTACAGCCCAGGCCTGTCCACACTGCTGCTCCAGCCCAGTGGGTACTTGCTGTGTCTCCATGAGAAATAGTTTAACATCCCCCCTCCCAGCTACTTTTAAATAGCCAACATCCTACCACCACCATTGCCCACTTCTGCTCCTTCCCTCTCCTTGCTCTCCTTCCCCTTCATGGGTTCCAATTCTAAAAACTCTCAGAAAGTTGTTTTGCAGAGCTTACCTTGAGAACAAAAAGCACAGACTAATACTTATACAATAAGGGAAAGGAGTTACTGGTTGGGGATAACAGTAATATGTAGTAAGGACGGCTAGGCATAGAAACTATTCAATATTCAGTCCCCTGTAAGAACTGAAGAGGACTGATCCATCAGAAGGACTCGGTTAACAAGTGTTGAAATGAGTCCTCAACAACTGTGAGTTAGTCACCTAGGAAGATATAACATGGCTTCAGTAACTTTTATTTCTACTTCCTGACTAAATGTTGCATCAGTTAGCAACTAAAACTAGCAGCTCACATAAAGCCATTTGGACTAAGAATGATTGCACAGTGAACAATGATAACACATTTGAAAAGAAGAAAATATTGATGTAAAATGACCATTAAAAGCCTAAGACACCATTCAGAATATTCAGCCTCAGTTAGTAGAAGAAGGGCTCTATATATATGTTTTGGAACAATGAGTCACTATCAAAGGATTTCTGGCATTTATTGGTGTCAAAATTACCTACTGACAGGACACTCTGAAGCTTAGCTTAGTAATTTCATTTTCATCCTTTTTGAACATGGTAAGAATATAAAACATATTGTTTTATTAATTTTTATACTTGTTATTCTATTTTAAGATTGAAACAATTTCTTTGTATGCAGAAAATTTTAGCTATCTCTTTAACAAATTAACCTGCTAGGTCACACACAGAACAGTTTCAAATTTAAATCTGTTTCTTATTATCAAACTGAGCTCTGTCTGGAATATTGTATAGCCTACAATATTCTTTATAGTTACTAAGTTAAAAAGTTACTATTTCCATGGCTTGAGTGTTTTCTGAGTGTCCCCAAGGGCCCATTGTGTTTAAAATCTTTATCTCCAGGGTAGCAGCATTGCGAAGTGGTAAAATGGGGTGGGGTTATCTAGAAGGGGGTCCTAAAATTCTTGGACCCTCAAAAGAGGCTATGTGACATCATCCATATTCCCACCCCCCGCCTGACTGTTTCTCCCCTCCCCTTCTCTTTGACTATCTGGCCATGTAACCTCTTCCACATGTCTCTCATGATGCTGGGAGGGCTTCAGCTGGAACTGAGTGAGAACAACATCAAGTCTGTAAACAAGTCTCTTGTCTTTATGAAACTGACTCTTTCAGACATTTCCCTGTGGTGCTGCAAACTTGCTTAATACACTGACCACATGGAATTATGATTTCACCTGAGAAGCACAGAAATCTTTAACTATAATTGTGCTGTAAGGCTCAATACTTTCTCAGTTTTATAAAAATCTATCACAACACAGTCATGGTTCTCTCTGTTTCAAAGGCACCACCACATCCACTCATTTCCTCCTACTCATCAAGTAGTAATGGTCACAAAACATATTGCAAATCTCCATGTTAAACAGCAATATTACTAGTGGAGAAAAAGCACAGTGGAATAAAAAACCTACTAGCAAATGCCTATTGGAGCAAAGAAGGAAATCCAATATGCTATGCTTAGATTTAAAATTAAAATAAACATGTGAATACACATACACATATGTACATACATGAGAATAAAACCCAGTAAGTTTTATTGACATTCATAGCTTCAAGTGGAGGGAAAACATATTATGCCTCATCTGAAAGGGATTCTTTAAAATATAAAAAAAAAAAATGTTGTGTCTTAGGCTGTCTCCTCTTTTTTTTCTTAACATAGGCTCTTGATATAGTTCAGCCTGGGGTCAATTTGTGGTTTTCTTATATCAGTACCTAGAAACTGGGCTTATATAAGCCTCTACATCTAGCTGTGATTTCTAGATTCAGGTCTTAGGAGTTAAGAAATTCCTTTTCCATAAAAACTGGAAGTGAAGATCTGTATATCTTAATGAACTGGTAAATTAAAAAAAGTTTACTTTCAAACCAAGTTATATTAGTACTAAGTCTTGGTAATTCATTCCATCTCAATCTGTGTAGAAGTCAAAATGATCAAGCAACTAGATGACTAAATATAAGAAAGAAAAGTGTTCAATATCATCTGACATAGAAAACTGCAAATAAAAACTATAATGTGGCAATCATTTCAACCAATTAATATGACATTTACAACACATATACACATATGCATGCCCAAGATTTAAAGAAAAGGAACTCAAACACTTTTGCAGGGATGTAGATTAGTTCGTCATATGATTCAGTTATCTCACTTCTAAATACATATCTGGTATCTGAAGGAAATATAATCAGCATGTCAATGTAATATGTTTATTGCTGCATTAGTCACAGTAGCTAAGAAGTACAATCAACCTAGATGCCCATCCTTAAATAAGAGGATAAACAAGTGTCTTAGTTAGTTTCTATTGCTGTGATGAAAGACCACCACCTAAGCAATCTGGGAGAGGAAAGGGTTTATTGGTTTACATATCCCAAGTCACAGTTCATTAAGGGAAGCCACTGCAGGAACTCAAACTGGGCAGGAAACTGGAGGTAGGAACCTGGAAGAGAGAGCTGATGCAGATGCCATGAAGGACTGCTGCTTACTGGCTTGCTCAGCCTGCTTTCTTCTTATAGCATCTAGGACCACAAGCCCTGGGGTGGCACCACCCACAAGGGCCCTCTCCTATCAATCACTAATTAAGGAAAAACTCTATAATATCTCAATTGATATTCCCTCTTATCAGATGACGCTAGCTTGTGTCAAGCTGACATAAAACTAGCTAGCACAATAATATACAAATAATAAACATTCCTTGTTATTTTTTCCTTGGTGGCATAATTGAGACAGATTCAACACCCCCTCCCTCTACACACACACACACTTTCACAAAAAAAAAGCTTTAGGACTATAAAAATGGAAAAAATAACTCAAGAGAAAATATGAAGAACACAGATGGAGCCAATTTTTGAGATGAAGTTTCAACTGAATATTGTTCAGCCATTAAGAAGACTGAAATCAATCCATATCTATCCCCGTGCACAAAACTCTTGTCAAAATGGATTAAAGATCTCAATACAAATCCGACCACACTAAGCCTGATAGAAGAGAAAGTGG